TTTTGATTCTACCACTCATTCGGAATGCAGATTCATCACAAGAAGAATGAGCAAGAAACTTGTGTGTTGCTCTTTTTAATAGATGTTTTTTTTATATAAATAATTACAGTATAACAAGTAAGAGGCATACGATAATCAACATAGAAGTCGCTACGCACTACGTTAATAACAGCAACAAAACATATTTCCCAAGATTTTTTTGCTAATATTCTGATTGACGTTACATCTTCTCTAAACTCATCTGCAATTCGAGCAAAAACATTACTGGAGGCTAATGTCGGCCCTCACTCTTTGACATTTAAATTTTCACATGTAAGCCCTTTTCTTGTAATAAAAATATTCAAACAGTTAAATTAAAAAAATACGGAAGATCTCTGGGGCATGTCAGTTAAAGTAGTTAGTTTATTTATAGATATTTTTGCTCCTTATTTAGCTACTATTTTCAATAAATGTGTTGAAAATGGGGTGTAGGAAACACGCCATTTTCAATTTCAATTGATGAAATTTAGCAAATTAATTCCACTATTTAAATCAGGAGATAAATTTGAGCTAGGCAATTATAGACCAATTTCTATTTTGCCAGTTGTAAGTAAAATATTTGAAAAGATTTTGTTTAACCAAATGTTAAAACACTTCAGGGATAATGGACTGCTTCACAGTCAGCAATATGGTTCCACTGCCTGCAAGTCTACTACTGATGCAGGTGTAGCGCTTATTACACATATATTCAAATCATGGGAGACACACAGGATAATCTCTGCGTTTTTTGTAACCTATCGAAGGCGTTTGATTGCGTAGATGATCTACGCACTACACACTAAAACACTTTTGTACAAGCTCGAACATTATAGTATTAGAGATAATGACCTAAATCTAATGAAATCTTATCTAGAGGATAGGGTGCAAACTGTAGATATTGATGGTGTAAAGTCTAAGGGAACTAATATTAAAATGGGCATTGCTCAAGGTTCAATCTTAGGCCCATTTCTCTTTTTAATTTATATAAATGACCTTCCCTACATGATACATAAAGTTGTAGATATAGTGTTATTTGCGGATGATACTTCGTTAGTGTTTAAGATTGGTCGCCAAAGTAATCAATTAGATGATGTAAAGTATGCTATCTCTGCTATATTAAATTGGTTCACATGTAATTATCTATTATTAAACTCCAACAAAACTAAGTGTATTAAATTCACGCTTCCTAATGTAAGACAAGTAAATACGCAGCTATTGCTTAATGATGAAATAATAAACTTTGTTAATGTTACAGTTTTTTTAGGAATAACAGTGGACTCGAAGTTACAATGGGAGCCCCATATTTCAAAATTAGCCAGTAGACTTAATTCTGCTGCTTATGCGATTAGAAGAATAAGGCAATTAACAGACGTGGCGACGGCAAAACCTGTATATTTTAGTTATTTCCATAGCATTATGTCAAATGGCATACTGCTATGGGGTAAAGCTGCCGATGTAAATACTATATTTATTTTACAAAAGAGATCCATACATTCTATTTATGGTATGGGTTCTAGAGAGTTTCTTCATTCTATGGTAATTGCGTAAGATTCTATAAGAAACTGCCAGAATCTACGCTAAATCTGCAAGAGAGGCAATTCAAATTTTATATTAAACAAATGTTATGTAAAAAAAAGCCTATTATATGATAGATGAATTTATAGATGATAGCAATATCTAGCAAGAATAAGTTATGTTATATATGCGGACAACGTTATAATTTCCTTTTCATACTGCTTTCTTGATGTATGATAGCGTAGCAGCTTTTGTATTGATTGCCGTATGCATCCTCATGTAAAGTGCGAATACTGTAACTACCATATAGTAATTTTAAGTAGCTATGACGTGGTCGAGTGGAATAATAATATAGTTATGCTCACTAAATGTCCAGACATGTGGCGGCGTGGTGGGCTGGGTCATTGGATTCCCTAAAATATAGTCGAGCGCAGTGATGGCTGGCTCATCCGTCATGCTCGTGAACGAGTGCTGCTTGTAGGGACTGGTCTGCTCTAATCACTATGACTGATTTCCTCTTATTAATTGTTTAACCAGTTGTTGTGTATTAAATATTGTTTCTATTTGATTATTTAATTGAATTAGTGCTAATCGGTAGTTTGTATTCACACACTTAAACTTAAATTGTAAAGTAGGAATAAAATTATTTAAAAGGGCAACACGCAAGTTTCTTGCTTATTCTTCTTATGATGAGACAGCTTTCCGAATGAGCGGTAGATTAAAAAAATGTGATGACTATTCAAAAGTGCTTCAGTGTAAGTTTATTTGAATAAATTATTTTTATTCTATTCTTATTCTTCCACTTCAACCGTTATTTGTTTCTATTAAATGGTCTTAGGTATATTTGTTTCCTATGGTAGGTACTGTGTATATTGTAGTTTTTAAGTTGTGTAAATGTTTGGGGAAGCTTGCTAAAATATATCAGTAAAAACCAAGCCTGTTTTTTGGCAGTTTTTTATCGTGAACTAATAAATGTTAATAAAGTTATACGTAGTAAATTAACATAATATTTTATGAAAAATAGACTATTTTAAAATGTATAGAACGGTGTACCAGTAATATTAGGCTATTTTTATTCAACTGATGGACGATTTATTATACTTTTTTGTACAGAATCCTAAAAATAGATTATTGTTTCGATAAAAACTAGTTTGTTTTTGCAACATACGTCAATGTGGTCTAATAATGATATAATTATATAAGTGCTCAAGTAAAAATTAATGATACCACTTGAATAATAACTACGGTGGAAATTTCCTATTGAAACTGCATGTATAAAAATAATAACAAGTATGGTTTATTCTGAAAACCGGTTCCTAATCCTGGTGTTTATTTGACTCAACAAGCAAACAAATTTCATAGTAACACACAGCGTGTGTATAGATATGTGTATAGATGTTTTTATCGATTAAATATTATAATGAGTGAAAGAGGGCAGAATTTTTTATAAGAAAATTTTTCACTACTTCAAATGCATTCTTTGCATATCGACATTGTTATCATATACAAAATTTACATATAAACATACTTATCTCTAGTTTTTACTTAAATATTAATACTATAAATTCAAACGTATATTTGTCTATCTGTTTGTTACGTTAAATAGATTGTGTCACAAGGACAGACATGCTGTCATTTATCTAATAAATTAGATGAAGTCGCGGGACTCAGTTAGTTTATTATAAAATTTATTTGTAAGTGTGTTTCTCTCTCTCTCTCTTTCAGTAAATACCTATTAGTCCACTGCTGAACGTATGCCTCTTGCATAATTGTAAATCTGTTTGTTTTGTACTTAGTATTTTAAAATTATCTCTGTAAACACAGTTAAATAATATTTTATAATTCTGTAATATTTGTTTATTATCTGTAAGTTGCTTGCTTTAAGTTTGAAATTAGGTACTAATTATACTTTAAATTTGAAATAAAATTAGGAATATTAGAACAGTTGCAAAAATAGCCAACAATTTGACGTTATCATAAAAACAAGGAAAAAATTATGTAAGATGGTAACGAAGATCGCTGCGTAGTGGCTTGGCAAAGCGTGGTTATGTTATTGAAATCTTAAACCAGATATTCTGAGACAAAAAACAAGTTCTGTTTGTTTTTAAACTTATTTTTATACTAGTTGTTGACTGCGACTTCGTTTTTGATCTTATAACACGCACAAATTCTCAGCCCCTTATAGCGTGTATTTTTGGGATAAAAGTTGCCCTAAGTAATTTTATTGAAATCCGTTCAACAGGTTAGGTGTAAGAAAGTAACAAACATTGAATGTTAGTATAAAGACAAACCTATATCTACAACGTTGGATACAAATATAGGTACCTATCTATCGAAATGTGAGCCGTTTAAGTATTGCGTTCACCACCACCACGTTGACAACTGACACCGTTACTGGTAGGTATGTATTATGTCTACATGTAATTATAATATCTATCAATAACCGGCACATTTCCATTTGATTACATCCCCACATAACTTAGTTTTAAAGTTCAGTGTAACTTCCTCTTTAGATTACCAAGTACCTTGCAGTTCACACCACGACTCCGCATTGAGTGTTCGTTAATGAAAAGCATATGTAACAACTTAAATAAACGGGATCATTGAACAAGTTATAAATATTTCATCTGTACCTTACTATTTTGATAGTTAGTTAACATGATATTACAGGGACCAAATAAATAAGGTAGCGAGACCTCATCACATAACGCTACAGTGGTGAGGTGAAACTCAGCATTCAACAGTAGCAAACAGTATTGACACTAAAGTTGTATAATTTTATATTTATGAAATAATATACCTACCTCTACCTTTGTTATCCCCATAGGGTAATCAGCAGCGTGGGTCAAATAAACGTGACCTAAAATAGTATCTATATATGTATAATAATACCTACCTAAAATTTTCTAGAAGTGAATATTCGCTGGAGTAATCAAAATTCATTATTTACTACTAAAGTTTATTTAATTTACTTAATCTAAATTAAATATCATCTTCACATGGATAGCATACATTACTCATAATATCTTGCTTAAACTACTTAAATATCACAATTACAACCAAAGTAATATACACATTTTTACTACTAAAACTACTTACGAACGTTATAAAATATTCTAAAACGATGAAGACCAGATGGTAAGTCAATAGCACAAAAACAGATGTGTTAAAATGATATAGTGATATACTTTTATAGTGGGAAATTTCCCACTATAAAAGTACAACCTCTTAATTTTATCATATCAATTTTAATCACTAAACGAGGTGGCCATGTATGACAGATAGACAAATGTAAATCAAAACCTTCTTTTGTGAAGTAAATTAGCAGTTATCATAGTTGTGTATTAAAAATATTAGATGTTTCTTTTCATATTTAGTTTTTTTATTGTTATCAATATTATTTTTGCTTATTTATGTATGTTAATTAGTTAACAATCTATTGCTTATTCAAATCTGATCTTTGGTGCGTCGACAGTCCTTCTTCCTGTATAGACTGAATCGTATGCAAAGTTGTGGCAATAACCAACCACAGAGTAACAATCTTTGAGATAAGGTAACATAGAAATTTCTACTACAATTACGAATAAGTAATTAGTCAATTTCAAGTTTTCTGAATGCGCCGACTGTTCCATATATATCAGTGTCAAGCATTGGGGCTGGGGTGGTGTTAATTATATTTAAGTTACGAAGGTAGTCACGCAGCTCATCGACACGGTGGCGCCATTTTTTGGCCAGCGTATCTATGGATTCCTCTTCACCACCCCACTCAGCTGGCAACACTCTGGCGGGTATATGCTCTAAAAGATCCTCTTCACGAGAATGAATATAATACTGTAACAAAATACATTATTGTTATTTTAAGCAACTACGAACATTAATAATGAGATTTGATTTGGTCTGATTTGCTGTTTTCAATGTTTATTAAGATAGCTCTCAACATTTGAATACGGTAACTTACTCGTCTTCGAATCTTCTCATTAACGCAGCTGCGCATGAGTTGCAGTGAAGAGGCAAAAAGGGTGGGCGCTCCTACTACGTGGATCCTTTTCAATCTTTGAGGGTAAGCGGCCTGCGCCAGGTGGATACTACGGCGTACCACATTCGCTGCTGCCATCACGCGAGCCGCGAATGAAGCTCGGATATGGGATACCTATACGAAATAAATTAAATCAATAGAATAAAATACAACTGTAACAAATGGAAGATATCAATATTGATGTCGTTACATCATTCATGGGGTATTATTACGGGAATTATTAAAACCAAAACTATACAGTAGTCGTCGAAGTATTTCATGTAATATATATATACGTTAACATGACACGCTTATATTTAATGGGGGTAGACAGATACAATGAAATGCGGATATATGTACGCTTAACTGCAGCGTCATTAATAAAACCATCAATATGATGATTAGCGTAGCCGAGAATGGCCGTGATTTACTTTTTGTTTCGTATCTACGTCATCGTTGCGAGCCTATAAAATTAATTTGTTTCCGTTAATGCTGGTTTAACCGTCAAACCCAGAAAGCACGTGTCCTCGATTATTCCAAAAACAATCCAACTCGCATATTAAACACAATTTAATCGATTGTTAAACTGATGGACAGTTTTAAACAACGCAGTAGTTACAATTATGTATCTACGTAAACAAAAACATTTGCTTACCTGCGTCATTTTTTTATATGTAACAACATTTCATGTGAACTAAAAGTAAAGTGCCTACTAGAGCTTATTAGACTATATAGGCCAGAATACTTAATTATAATATACTCGTATGCAGTAACTATATCAGGGCAGAGTATTATTTATTTATTTAAAACTTTATTGATTTTGTACAATAGTGGCTTAATGCTAATAGAATTCTCTACCAGCCAAACTTACTGAGTGCAGAGATACTCGAAGGCGGTTTAGTTTTAATAAATTAAATGTAATTATATAAAGTAGATATAAGATTATACATATACGTGATAATATACTACCTACAATCAAATTATGATTAATGAGCATACATATTACATATTATATATTATGGAATAATACATTAATTAACGAACAATATTCTTGTTCACTATTCTTGTAGTATTCCTACACTGTTATTCAATTATATTTTAGATCAACATAATAATCACTAATCCTACTAAACATAATAATCATATTAGCTGAAAGTTACTCTTTCAGACATATGTAATGAAAGATTTTTTAACATTGTTCAATAGTTTTATATCACTACAAACAAATTAACAAATATAATAATATGTTCATCTTTATAAAATTAATAATGTATTAAATTAACTATAGGTATAATAGGATACCAGCTTACCTCCCAAATGAAAACATCACCGGCAATTAAAGTCTCGTCATGAATCCGCGCGTCACTCACGAGAAGGATGGCGCGCACCACATTTGTGATGTCCGCTGTGGATTCTTGGTACCCTGGTCTGATACGAAGGATTGTCACCCGATACCCTTCGTCGGTCACCTTTGGTAATGGTACCACATCTCTGCATAATACACGGGTGATAATTATTTTATGTATTATACAAGCTGATAGCCTTATGGAACAGCATACAAGCTGACGGCCCACCTGACGAAAAATGGCAATCGCTGATAAGCGTCAGCCAAACTAAGCAGAGCTTGTGTTATGAGTATTAGATAACTGACATAAATACAACTTTTTTGTGAATACATGAATATTATACACATCTAGACCGATACAAACACTCATACTAATTACAAATGTTTGTACCGTGCGATGAAATGATTCCGCGTTCCCGCGTTCATAAGAAGTAAGACAGTGTGTTAAAAATCTAGACCCCCACCGTGGTCGTTAAATATAATATATAACAATAATATTTGTGTGCTACAAATATCACGTCGTCTTGGGATTTCATGCGCTGTCATTCTTGAGGGGATCTTGATTCAACGTGTCATGCCTCCATATCCTATAACTTCTCCTAAATTCCATCATTCAAACCGAAAGACATATTACAAAGCAAGCTCCTTGATACCAGAACAGGTTCTCACCTACCTGAACTCGTATCCATGTAGCCGACATTGTACGAAGTACAAACTGTAGCTCAGTAATTAAATTACTATGGGAAAACATAAGGACTTTGTTAACGTCAGTAAATACATCATAACGTAGGTTAAACAAAGCCTTTTGTTAAATTTTCTCATGGCAAAACGTAGGACCGAGTAATTTTGACAAAATTAATGCATACATTAATATATACATCTTCAAAACAAAGTAATTATATACGTATTTACCTAATCTATTTATGCGTTTCCTTCCTGAGCGTCTCGGTCTGCTACGCCTACCGCCCGGTAGTGATTTATTATTTTTTCTATATATGGTTCATTATTATTATTAATAGAAGGGGTCACGTAGCTATTTAATGCCAAAACATACGTCATCAGGTTTATTGACGTTAAAGATAACAAAAAATTTGCAACTTAATGTGTGTTGCTTTGTGTGGCCGTCACGATGGTGCTTCCGTGTTGTAAACGGAAACGCGCTTGGTAAATAAGGGTTGAGCTTTAGAACAATTTTTTCTAAAATTTCTGTTTACTGAAATATAATAAATAGGATTTCTTACTACATTTTAGTTTTTTTCTAAAACCTTAAGCATAATTTTAAGCATATACCTATTTTGTATGCTTATACAGATTTCTATATTTTATTGTATTGTCACAGAATATAACGTACATAAACAATTAGAATTTTAACTAAGTTGTTCTACTCAGACTTCTTTTGTGACTCAAGCAGCGGACCTGACAATATAGTAATTATTTTTTTTATGTAATGTTTATACTACTATATTATTATAATTAACTAATTATATCATTTACATAACTTAATTGTACAACTACAACCTAAAATTAAAAAGCTTAAAAAATATAATACAATAACTAAAATATATTATTATAATATTATTCCCTTTAGGCAAAGTTATTATATTTATTTATATATTCATTCTTGTTAATAAATATGTATTAAAATATAAGACAATTATTCCTAAATTTACAATTTCTTTTCATCAGTTGACTGAAATGTAATTCTAAAATTTAATAAATAAGAAGGCATTATTTATATTTAATTAAATGTTATATATCTTCTATTATCGTGTATTGTATGTATTATATTGTATCTGATTCAAAGGGTTTTTTTAGCAACCCAGCGTGCAAATACTGACAGCGTATATAATAAGGTACGAGTGCTACAAATTTAGTTGATAATTATTTCGTCCGCAAATTAAGAAAATAAACCTTTTATTACCCAAAATTTTTTTTTCCATGTTTTTGTTTTGATCAGAATTATTTAACTATTTATAAAAAAATATAGAGCTTACATTAGTTTACAGGTATCCCTGAGTGGTGGTTCATTAAGGGATCTGTATTCATATAGGTCTCGATGCCGGGAGCGCGACAGAAAAAATGTTTCCAGTTTATTCCTTGCTCTCTCCATATCCAAGCGACAACCACGTACGAATACTTCCAAGAGTTTTTTATCTGTAAAGAAAATAGTTACAAAATATATATATACATAATTTAACTCTGAAGAGCACATTTGCCATTAAAACACGCTACGACCCTTAGAAGTACCTAAAGTGAATTATAGAGTACCTACATTGCAAAACTAAAACTCCACTACTGCAAAATCATCTGAAAGTAGTTTATACACAATTTAATCAGTATTGTCTAGTAAGTGAACAGCTTAAAAGTATTTTTATGTGTATACCTAATTATAAAATATTCCTAATATATGTAATTTAACACATTACGTAGCGAATTTAAACGTACTAAGCGAATATCTAGTGGGCGCACTATATTGAGGTATCCGAGATAATAATTTCTTCAAAGGTCTTCTTAAAATACAATAGACGTAGATAAAAAGAATTATTAGTTATTTTACCATTATGGTCGGGGCTACGACTTACTACACTGTTTTTTTAATACTATTTGGCAAACTGTGCAGTCACGTGCAAACTCTAGTCACGTCTTCTAAAATTGTTCAAATATAATTACGCTGAAACCACCATTGCGTCTGCAGTTCTTATCAAATTTTACTACTTATGTCACCCGACTACCCAGATTTTTAAATTTCTGGCACCTTCCTATACAGATATGTTTTTAATACAATTTTATAGAAAACACTAAAAGCATCTAGTACTACTCTCATAAATATCGACGTACTTATAGTTAGATTCTAGTATTATGTTGCCTTTGAAGTGCTAGAATTTAGTGGAATAAGTAAGTTATAAAACAAAAAAGCAAGTCACTCAACTCTGCTCAACTGAAAGAGCCAATGTGTGTGATAGGCATATCTAATTTATTAGCTATTTTTTTACTAACGGTCCGCTTAGCTATGCTAACAACTGCCAAGCCTGCTTACCCTGAAAATGACCTTTGGCTGCAAAGTTTGTCATCACTGTATAGCCTATTATAGCCAAGACGTTAAAGGTAAAACCATTCATTTCCACACTGATAGCAATGTAGTACCACCACCTTTGTGAACTTTGTTAAAATATATTATAACTTAGGTACTCTAAGTATGGATTCTATGTAGCGTCATTATACTAATGGAAAAACACATAGGTAAATATTTATGTCCCTTAGGACAATCAGATCTTAATCTGATTAGCCATTCAAATTAGTGTGAGTGGAAAAATTCATGAATTAAGACCCTATGTCTTAAGAAAGCAAGCATGTGTAGATATCGTGTGAATAGCAAGCTAACATTCTAGTTACCGAGTACTTTTTATACTAAATTCTGAACAGAACGACTATCTTCAATGGGAGATAAAGATGGATGACTATGAAAACGAACGAGGTTCGTGGTATGGTGATTAATTCCGAAGATGGAATCTTAAATTACCTAATTACTTAGTAAAACTTTATGTTTATTAGTACGAACTGCGTACGAGCTGTTTTTATTTGCGATATAACAGTAGGTAGATTAACCGATTCAGTGACTGACCACATCGTACAAATAAATAACCTCGTTGGCGGAATGGAAAAGTTTGGTTGAAAATCGTCTAAGTAGAACTATTATTCCGTTGTATGCCCCTTGTATCCGCCCCTTATTTCCAGACTTGTCATAATTTGAAGGGTATTTGAATGCAGAAACTTTTGGTGCCAAAATCGTGACCGAAATCGAATGCAACGCAATGATGAAAGCTTACTCAAACTAAACCTGAGGAAAATGTCAATGTAAAACAAACTTGATATGTGTGTTTAAGACGGCCCTGCTTGAAGTAAGTAGGTACTTCTATAAATCTCGTTGTGAAGTGAAGAATTTCATCAGTGAAGGCATAAGAAAGTAACCTTTACCCAAGTATTAAAAAAATTAGACTCCTAAACCGCTGAATCAATAATAATGTTTTTTTAACTAGTTCAGTTATTATAATATTATTATTAATTACTAAGACTTAAGAAATGTGGGATCAGGTAGGTAAGTATTTCTATCAAATCTATACATATAAATAAAATTGTTTGTTTGTAATATTGAAATAACCGTTTTTTACTACATGCATATGAATATAAATACGGTATATACACCAAAATAACATATTCTACAATTTTTGTCTGTCTGTCTTTCGGTCTGTTTATTCCGGCTGATCTCTGAAATTGCTGGACCGATTTTGACGGGATTTTTTTAGGCAGGTAGTTGATGTACCTAATAAGGAGTAACTTAGGCTACTTTTATTTTAGAGAAATCTTTTAAATTAGAAAAATAAAGTTAAATTCCACACGGACAAAGTCGCGGGAACAGCTAGTCTAAAATAAGAATGTAATCAAAATAAAAGAGCTCTTGTTTAGACACTAGTCATTATAAACTGAAACGAGATCGTATCAAAAAGTAGCCTAATTAGGTACATATTACAATTTACGTCGAAAATATTTTTATATTAATTTCGTCTTTGTATAACAATAACGGACCTTAGACAGTCAGGCTGGTATATGGCTGGGTTGCGGAGAGAAACAGGTGAAACAGGTCTTGCCGTGACCAACACCGTCGCCGGACCTGAATGCTATCGACCATTGCCTCAAGAGGATATCAATAACCAACAATCTCTAATGTGTTTCGCATAATAATTCTAATTCAATGTTCGCCACCTGTGGCATAAAATATAGACTGTGGAATAGAACTTTAGTTAAGCCGGAAATAATTAGAATATTATACTACTTATTAGGCAATATTTTATTAAAGATCTGGCATAGTAATTTTTAAACCTGTACTCATTTTTCATACAAACATATTACGAATGCTATAGTACATTAGCTACTTTTGTATGAATACTATTTATGTATATGTACACTACAATTTATTTTCTTTTATAAAGAAGGACCACGATAAAAAAATACATTCGGATTTCGTACTTTCAAAGTAACTATCTATCCACTTTTGGCGGTCACTTGAAAATATGTATGTAGGTAATTCCAGTAATTATTTATCATAATTGTTATTTCTATATAGTAGTAAATAATGCTGAATTTTAACAATTTAAAACTAACGCGATAGAGTATAAAGTATACAATATAAAATGAGTTATACAATAATTTAGACCAAGTTTTACAAGATAGTAAAATTGTCCTAACTTTAATTGGGTTGATGCTTATATCGTACTTCACACCTTGTGCTTATAAACTGATTTTAAAACACAGCGAACAGACAGAACCGGTTGGTTACCAACTCACAAAGTTCTATGTTTGCCTTTATTATCGTATATTTTTCGTAAGTCATATTGGAATAGATTTCCTACTAAGTACCTACTATGATTTATATTGTCCAACGACCTCCTGGGTTTCGCCTTCCATTTGGTTTTATTGCTGTCTGACTTCACAGTTGTACTAATAAAGAAAACGGTAGACCAAATTTTCTCTTTCAATCTGTCAATATTTTTTAGTTATATACATACTTATAACACTAATTTTTATGTTTGAATTGTGAAATGTACTCGCGGAACAAAAATCTATTATAGTCGTAATAGTGAACATTAATATTGCCATTCGTAGAGTTCGGATCCGAGTGTTTGACATCTGGCGTGCTGTGTGCCAACCACTCGGATCCGAAACATGTTTTTTTTATTAAAATAATCATAGATATACATTCATCCATATTTTTAAATATTCGTATATACTTAATCAAAATACGCCTTAAACTGAATTGGTTCCCAGCTATTATTTTACATTATTTTGTGGGCCGTGAATGTGTTAAACATGTTTTAGACAAATCTTACAAAGGCAATTAATCAAATAGGAACAGCCGTTTTATAGTGAAGATTAGGTACACATATTCAGCAATTGATTTTTATTTATAGGTTTATTTGTTAATTCAGTCTAGCGGTGTACCAAATTTCATTCTAATCTGTTCAGTTAAGTCTGTCAAAAAATATTATTGTCCTCAACAATTTATAACTTCTAGGTATATTAGAATACATTTTTTTATATTTGAAAGCACAACACCAAGAACTTAACTAGACTATAATAATAATACGTAAGATATATACATATAACTTAAGATATTCCCAACTAGATTATACAGTTGCTAATAATATCTCAAAAAAAAAAAAAAATTAAATTAACTATTTAGCGGTGATTTGTAAAGCTTTTTGTAAAAGATGAATGTGTCCTTAAAAGGTTTAACAACTGTAACTGTTAAACAGTTCGTACATAGCTACAGACTCAAATGACATTTAATCTTTTAAGTTACATAATCAAAGTGTTGTTATACGATACGGTATAATATGATACGGTCCACTGAAGAAAAGCAAAAGAATATAAGGAAAGCAACTAATAGAAGTTTAATTCGAATACAGTATTATTATTTTTAACATGTTTAGTGTAAGGTTTGCGAAAACGTTCATTGATCAGAATATATAATGTAGTTGCTTGTGTTGTAAGCTGTAAAGGGTTAGCGTTATATTGCAAAATTGCAACGTGAAAGGAATTGAAAATAGCGGTTCATGCTGTGGTCACAGAGAGAAATTACAAAACATTGGAGTAGGTACGTATATTCATTAACATAATTAATTCGTAGTGTCCATATAATCCACAGTTATTATAAATAGATTTTGCAACATTGTGTACTTTGTGTCATTTGTTAACCCTCCTCAATTAGATGGCGGTGGCGATGGCTGTCTAATTGACTCAGTTGACTCTCTATATCTCTCTCAGTGTTCCATATATTGAAAAGGATATACAGAGATAATTCCTATAAAAATATGATTATCTCCAAAAGAATTTTTGAACAATAACATATTGATGAACTGAACTCTGAATTCGATAGTTCAATAGTAAGTTTGATATCTACAATACTAAATATTTAGCCTATTAACTTTCTTTAAACTAAGTATTATGTGGTGTTATTAATGAAAATGTAAAAAGTTAGAAACAAAATGTAACAAAAGTATAGGTAACATAACTAGTGTAGCATCAGTTTTAATCTATTCTTGTAAGTATACGATACCTAATAGTGGACATATGAACAGAATAACATTAGCAATAAT